CCGCAGCTCTGTCCCACCCTGCGTCTGGCCGTCCCACACCACGGGGCGGCCCTGGCCGCTCGTTTCCTTCTCCTTGACCGCAGCAGTCACAATCTCCCGCAGCTCCTCCTCGGTGGACCCTATGGATCCGATTAATGCATGCGTCACTTCAGTTCCGGTTGTAAAAATTGCTTCGATGGATCGGCGCCCCGACCTCCCAAACGCCCCGCTGCCGCCGGCCCCGCGGCCCCCACACCGCAGGCGCCGCGCGCGAGCGCGCGCGCGCGCGCGCGACCTCGGGCCCACCGAAGATGTCGGGGCGCGTCTTGGCGAGGCCCACGAGGTTGCGGGTGATCTCGTCGTCGCCGGCCCGCGTCGAGTCGCGCAGCTTCGACAGCATCGCCTCGCGCTGCTCCTTCCACCTTTGGGGGGGTGGGTGGGTGGGGGTGTGATTGTGTGTTGACGGTGTGTTGACTGTGTGTTGACTGCAAATGTATTGTTGTGTGTGTACAGCCAAAATCATGAGTGGTGGGTTTTTGGATGCATGCATGCACGCGCGTGTGTGTGCGTGTGTGTGTGGAGGGGGAGGGGGGAAGAGCAGAGCAAAATGGTTCAAGATAAAATTCGATTTGCAGCAAAGCGACAGACGTTTTGCAAACCACACTGGCTTTGGGATGACACGGGAATGATGGCGCAAGACGCCAGCGCGACAGCGCCCGCACCGCCCCGCTTCCATGCCAGCCAGCATCAGCACCAGTAGCACCGCCTCCCTCCCCCAGATCACCCAGCTCGCAATGCCCAGATCACCCAGATCAGATCACTCAGATCACACCCACCTCGGATCGATCAAACTGACGCGCATGTGCTCCGCCATCTGCTCAATTGGCACCAGCTCCCCGGTGATCGGCGACACCGCGTATTTCGACGGATCATATACGCCCCCCCTCGCGCCCGGCCGCGCCGCCGGCCTTACGTAATCCTTCACCACCTTGATCGGCCCCTCCTCCTCCTCCTCCTCCTCCTCCTCGGGCTGCTGCCCCTCCTGCTGCTGCTGCGGAAGCTGCCGGGCAGCTGCCCCCTCGTCCTCCATGTCCATGTCGACCTCCATGTCCTCCGCCTCCTCGCCGCCGCCGATGCCGACTGTTGGGAATGAGATGAGAAGACACAGGGGAACAGGATGCGACGGTGAGCGTGATTGGATGCGATGAAATTGGCTTGTTGTGCGGGGACGAGGGCCGGATGGCGAAGATCGCGGGGTGGGAGGGGCACGGCATCCCCACAAGCGAGTGAGGCTGCCGGGATTGCCGGCTGGCGGCGGCGGAGCGGACGTCCGCGGCGGCAGCCCATGCACAAGCGCCGTGCGCGCAACAATGCAAAGCGGGCAGCGCACCCGCCGCCGCCTGCGCCACGAGGGCCGCTTCCTCCGCGTCCATCGCCGCCACCGCGCCGCCGGGCGCGCCGGGGGCGCCCGCGGCGGCGGCGGCGGCCGCCTCCTCGGCTGCCGGCTCCTCCTCCTCTGGCAGGCGCGGCTGTGAGGCGGCGCGGAGTGTGTGTGTG